AGTAGCTTTAAGGCAAGGCAAAGTTATTGCAAGAGGTAGAACTTTACTTATGGCCGGGTATGGTTGTTCATGCCTATAATCCCAGCACTTTGGGAGGCTGAAGATCACGCGAGGTCAGGAGTTCAAGACCAGCCTGACCAACATGGTGAAATCCCATCTCTACTAAAAATGCAAAACTTAGCCGAGCATAGTGGCGCATGCCTGTAATCCCAGCTACTTGGGAGGCTGAGGTAGGAGAATCGCTTGAACCTGGGAGCTGAAGGTTGCGGTGAGCCGAGATTGTGCCATTGCACTCCAGCCTGGGCTACAAGAGCAAAACTCAAAATAAATAATTTCGAAAATAAAACAAAAAACTTCAACTTATTAGTTTATTCTAACATTTCTTATGGAGAAGATGGGCTTTTAATTACTCTGGATAAGGAATACTAAAAAGCTCTGAGAAATTTTGGAAGGGTTAGGGCAAGGGTGGTGGTGGGAATGTTAAGAATAAGGTACTATATAAGTTAGCTTGGGATAATATAAAGAAAGTGGACAGTAAAACAATATATAGTCAAGTAGAAGATTAAAGTAAAGTAGGTTAGGAGAGAGAGAGTTATAGAGGAGTGCTGTTTTATATAGGATGGTTATGGAAGGCTTCTCTGTAGAGGAATATTTAAAGTGATAATGGAGATAAGGGAGGAAGCCTTGTGAGTTTTGGAGGTTGGGGGAGAGATAATTCTAAGCAGTAAAAATAGCAGATTCAAAGGCCCTGAGGTGGCAGTAGGGTGCTTGGTATGATTAAACAGACCAATGTGGTTAGATTAGTGTGACTGAGGCTACAAGCGATATAGATGAGAAGTATCCAGATAATATCAGACTTTAGTTTTTAATTTCTGAGTATTTGTGCTTTGCAAAACCAAAGAGAGGTATTTGTAGCAGTGGAATGACATGACATTTTAAGGATCACTCTGGTAGTTTTGTGGAGCATAGACATTGATAACTTAGAAAACTATTATGATAGTCTTGGATGATGACACATAATAATGGTGCGCATCAAGGCAATAGTGGTCAAGGTGCTGGGAAATAGATTCTAGAGATATGTTCAAATTGGAGCCAACTTATTTATTGTATATGCTGGTGGATTAGACATATGGTATAAGAAAAAAGGGAATTGGCTGGGTGCAGTGGCTCACGCCTGTAATCCCAGCACTGTAAGAGACTGAGGTGGCCAGATCACGAGGTCGAGATCAAGACCATCCTGGCCAACATGGTGAAAGCCCGTCTCTACTAAAAATACAAAAATTAGCTGAGTGTGGTGGTGCATGCCTGCAGTCTCAGCTACTTGGGAGGCTAAGGCAGGAGAATCTCTTGAACCTGGGAGACGGAGGTTGCAGTGAGCCAAGATCGTGCCACTGCACACTAGCCTGGCAAGAGTGAGACTCCATCTCAAAAAAAAAAAAAATGGAAAAAAGGAATCTGGCTGGGTATATACAATTATGTGTACATGTTTGCAAATGATTACACGAGTAAAGTGAAAAATGTAGAGATAAGTGTGTGAGGTAATACGTATGTTAATTAGCTTAATTTAGCCATTCCACAATGTATATAGACATCTCAAAACATATTGTACAACTTAAATATGTACAACTTTTATTTTTCAATTAAAAAAAAAAGAATAACAAAAGAAAGAGCAAACACGTTAAGATGTTTTTGAGACACCTAAAATTAGATAAGCAAATGTAGATCTCAGAAGAATGGTTGGTGCTGTTTTTACATACTTACATATATGTGAATACATTTTGGAGTTATCAGCATACAGGTAATATTTAAAGTTTCAGGAATAGATGTGATTGTCAGGACAACAGTTTAGAGACAGACAGAAGAGGATCCAGAATGGAGTCCTGAAGAATATCAACAAAGTTTGGATGAAAAAAAGCCACTAAGGACCTTGAGGATGAAACTAGACAAGTAAAGTGTAAGAGAAGCTGAAGAAAGAGACTATTTCAGAAGGAAAGAGTACAGTGTGTTAAACTAAAAAGTGTCCATTGAACTTGGCAGTATGGAAGTTATTGATGATTTTGCTGGAAGGAGCTTTAGTGGAATGAGGGTAAAAAGGCAGGCTGTGACAGGTTGAAGGAGATGTAGGTTTTGTGATGAAAGCAGCAATTCATTCAGGAGCTGGTCACATACAGAGGCTTGATGCTTGATGCAATGATTAATTAAAAGAAGTTTGGTTAGAATAATTTTACTTGGAACAGCTGCTTCTTCAAGTCCTACGTTTTGCTTTTGTATTGTAAATTAACTTTATATTTAATAAGTCATTTATTCCTTAGAGGAGTTGTGAAGATTGAATGAGTTAACATACATAAAATGCTTAGTGCAGTCCTTGGAACACATATGATGATTAAGATAATAAAAATCATTAGAGGCTGGATGTGGTGGCTCATGCCTGTAATCCCAGCACTTTGGGAGGCTGAGGTGGGCAGATCTCCTGAGCCCAGGAGTTCGAGACCAGCCTGGGCAACATGGCAAAACCCGGACTCTACAAAAATATTTTAAATGTAACTGGGCATGGTGGCATGTGCCTGTAGTCCCAACTACTCAGAGTGTGAGGTGGGAGGATCATCTGAGCCCAAGAGGTCGAAGCTGTAGTGAGCCGTGATGGTGCCACTGCATTCCAGCCTAGGTGACCAAACATGACCCTGTCTCAAAAATAAAAACAAACAACCAAAAACCCCACACAATATGCAATAATTAACCAATTACTATAAGTGCAAAACTATATACTTGACATTTACTGTTTCATGTATACATCAATCCATATTAGATATGAAGAAACTAAAGCTTAAAGAGCTTAAATAACTACCATGATCACCAATCACCCAGAGAATTAAGTGCCCAGCCACAAAGATCATGTTCTTATTAGTGCGTTCTACTGTCCGCCACCCCTCTACCCCACCTGCCCCTCAGTACAGACATATTGGGAGCAGCTTTGGAATTCACTGTAGGGTATATTTTGCAGTTTTCTTTGGAGATTTTGAAAGTATAGTAGATTTGAGGACAGAATGCATGGCGTGGATTAAGATATTGCCTTTAGTGAACAGAAAGGAAGGAGAAGACTTATGAAATTAGGGGGAGCTGCATAATTCTGTGCTTCTGGCTATCTTAGAAGGTAAAGGGAAATGATAGCCATTATGCCTGAATTGAAGGACTAGTCAAAAGTGATTCAGGTAATTCATATTTGATTTGTTTAGGATTTTATTTTATGACAGCCAATGATAAATAACAAGCTACGATTATTAAAATTAATAGAGAATATAGTTTAAAAGTAAAATTTCAAGATGTTTGAAATTATTTATTTATTTGTTTGTTTATTAGAGACTGGGTCTTGCTATGTTATGTTGCCCAGGCTGGTCTTGAACTCCTGGGCTCAAGTGATTCCCCCATCTCAGCCTCCCAAGTAGCTGGGACTACAGGTGTGTGCCACCACATCCAGCTAAATTATTTTTTTGAAAGAACTATCATTTGTTAGCATAATACTTTCAGGTTTGTCTTTTGAACTAGTTCTTGTCTAAATGCTTTGTAAAAAGTTGTAATTAAAGTTTTTGTATATATGTAGCTGAAAACACTTCTGAAAAGAAACGTGATGAGACCCGAGTTATGATCTTCTCTTCATTTCGAGATAGTGTTCAAGAAATTGCAGAAATGCTTTCACAGCATCAGCCAATTATTAGAGTAATGACTTTTGTTGGCCATGCCTCAGGGAAAAGCACGAAGGGTTTTACCCAGAAGGAGCAACTGGAGGTAATTATTTTTGGAATTTATGAAAATAAAAATAAGATTGATTAGCTTTGCACTTGTTCTTTTTTTGTTAGTTTTAACTCACTGGTCAATTAGCTACTTAAAAAGAATTTTATAGTAAACATGTAAGTAAAAATAAGCATATTTTGAAAGATGATAACAAATGTTTTATGTGGGTTTGGAACTTTTTTTTTTTTAAAGTAATGTAAAGTATAAAAGTTAAGCAGAAAAACTCTAGAATTGTATTACCTGGGTTGGAATCCTGACTACCACTTAAAAGTTTCTTTACTTCTTCTTCCTCAGTTTTCCTTATCTGTAAACATACATCATAGGGTTGTCATAAGCATTAAAAGAGATCTTATTGTAGAGCCACCAGTAAATGTTTACTATTTACGTTAAGTCACTTTAATAATTTATTCTAAACAAATAATTAGCTTATCTTTATTTATTTAAAAATCTTACTTTAAAAATGGGGTCAGAAGAAACCATGATAGTATTTAAGGTAGCCTCATCCTCTGAGTAAGAGAACATTGTTTTCTAAGTGCTGTGAGGTTTTGAGGGAAATTTTATGTTATTGATTTTTATAAAATCTATGCAGCTTTTTATAAATTAACTGTGTAAGTCTATACGTGAGTAGTGACTGCCAGTTAGATATCTCTTTAATTTCTAATTCATTTTGACAGATCCTTTTTTGAATCTGCAGACGTTAGTAGATGAGGTATCCTTTTTTTTTTTTTTTGGAGATGGAATCTCGCTTTGTTGTCCAGGCTGGAGTGCAGTGGCATGATCTTGGCTCACTGAAACCTCCACCTCACAGGTTCTCCTGCCTCAGCCTCCAGAGAGCTGGGATTACAGGCACCGACGCCTGGCTAATTTTTGTATTTTTAGTAGAGATGGGGTTTCACCATCATGGCCAGGGTGGTCTCAAAGTTCCAACCTCTGGTGATCTGCCTGCCTCAGCCTCCCAAAATGCTTATTACAGGCATGAGCCACCTTGCCCGGCCGGGAGGTAGCCTTCTTTTTTTTTTTTTAATTTTGAAATGGAGTCTCGCTCTGTCACCCAGGCTGGAGTGCAGTGGCCCGATCTCGGCTCATTGCAAGCTCTGCCTCCCAGGTTCAGGGGATTCTCCCTCCTCAGCCTCCTGAGTAGCTGGGACTACAGGTGCCCGCCACCACACCTAGCTCATTTTTTTTTTTTTTTTTTGTATTTTTAGTAGAGACAGGGTTTCACCATGTTGGTCAGGTATTCTTTCTTTTCTTTTTTTTTTTTTTTTTTTTTGAGACAGAGTCTCGCTCTGTCACCCAGGCTGGAATGCAGTGGTACCATCTCAGCTTACTGCAAGCTCTGCCTCCCAGGTTCACACCGTTCTCCTGCCTCAGCCTCCCAAGTAGCCGGGACTACAGGTGCCCACCACCATGCCCAGCTAAGTTTTTATATTTTTAGTAGAGACGGGGTTTCACTGTATTAGCCAGGACGGTCTCGATCTCCTGACCTCCCGTGATCCGCCCGCCTCAGCCTCCCAAAGTGCTAGGATTACAGGTGTGAGCTGTGGTCAGGTATTCTTTAAATACCTTTTATACCTGCCCTGACTACACCGAGAAGAGTCTGTTTAAGCTGACTGAATATGATGGGGAGTGCCTTCCTGAATCTGAAAATAATACCTTTGCCCATCATCAAGTCAGATTATACATATTTTTAAGGCATCTATGGTGATTACTACTCTTAACATTTATGTATGAATGAAAAATGAATTGGATTTTTGTTTTGGAGGTCAAGCATTTTCATTATTTAAAATACCCACAGTACCCAATCCGATCTCTGATCAATTTCAGTATTACCTAAAGTCATTATTTCCTGAGCTTGTCAGGCACCGTAAGAACCTTATTGATTTTACTGACTTTATCGTTTACTCATTTATATCAATAATATTTTAATGTATGCCAAAGTAAAAACTTTTTTTTATTACTCCTATATGTGATTGCTTTCATAACAGCTGTTTTATTTTGAAATGAGCTTGCAGGCAAATAATTGTACATTGTCCATTTATTTAGAAACATGATATTAAGTCAGAAGACATGGGAGGGCGAGATCCTTTAGGGCCCTGTATGTCATTTCCATTTTAATGACTTTCTCTTACTGTGACTGAGATGAGAAGTTCTTGGAGAGTTTGGGGCAGAGGATGGTCTTAGCCTGATTTATATTTTAAACGAATCAGCTGGACACTGTGACTCATGCCTGCAATCACAGCACTTTGGGAGGCTAAGTTAGGAAGATTTCTTGAGGTCAGGAGTTCAAGACCAACCATGGCAACATGGTGAAACCCTATCTTTACCAAAAATACAAAAATTAGCTGGGTGTGGTGGCATGTGCCTGTAGCTTCAGTTACTTGGGAGGCTGAGGAGGGAGGATGCTTGAGCCCAGAGGTTGAATCTGCCGTGAGCCAAGATCACACCACTGCCCTTCAGCCTGGGCAACACAGTGAGACCCTGTCTCAAATAAAGAAAAAGAAAAAATACTGGTTATTGTCTGAAGAATAAACTGTAGGGGGTAAGGGTGGAAGTGGAAAGACCAGTTGGGAGACTTATAACAATTTAAACTGAAGTTGATGGTGACTTGGACTAGGGTGGTAACAAGGCAAGTGGTGAGAAGTGGTTAAGTACTGAATGTATTTTGCAGGTCAAGCTGATGGTGTATTGACAAATTAGAGTGGGATATGAGATAAAGGCACATGAAGTCTGGCTGTAGGATGACTCCAAGGTTTTTGGCCTGAGCAACTGAAAGGAGCTGGTATTAACTAAGATGAATAAGACTGCAGGAAATGCTAGGCATGGTGGCTGATGCCTGTATTCCTAACACTTTGGGACTCCAAGGCAGGCGGATCATTTGAGGTCAGGAGTTTGAGACCAGCCTGGCCAACATGGTGAAACCCTTTCTCTACTAAAAATACAAAAATTAGCCAGGGATGGTGGCAGGTGCCTGTAATCTCAGCTACTTGGGAGGCTGAGGCAGGAGAATTAGGGAATAGCAGGAGCTCGGTTTTAGATGAGTTAACTTTGACATGCCTCTCAGATTAATGCTTTTCAAACTATTGAAACTGGTAGAGGACCAGTTTATTTCCTCCACTACATCACATACTGATACTTTTGAACAATATAATAAAAATGAATTATTAGAAAGTAAAATGAATAAAAAATAAAGTTCAAGTCCAATTTTAAAAATATTACTAGAGTCTGCCAACAAAATTACTCTTTCAAGTGTCTAAACCCTTACTTTCAGTTATTGTACTTATCTTTTTGTCAGCCAGTAATAAACAGTTTTTGGACAGGCACCAGTAATAAACAGTTCACGGAGCACACTCTCAGTAGCAGTCTTTTAAACATCAAGCAGAGATACTGGATAAACAATTGAATATATGTCTTGAATTTGTGGAAAGGGTTCATGAAAGTATATTTTCAATGGCAAATTAATGTCAATCTTAAGCATGGAAGTAACAGTTTAGTTTATACATGTTAACTAAAAAGAAAATTGACATTATTAATCTGTTAATTACATTAATAATTTTTAAAAATGTATCTAGCACTGTGGCCTTTGTTTTTTTTTTTTTTTTTTTTTTTAAATCTGGGCAAAAAGGACATATGCTTTTCTATGTTAGATGCAGGTTGGCTTAATGTCATTACAAATTCCAAAGGAAATGAATTACTATTAATGTTTAATCATGATCATTGTTTCTCCTTATACTCTGAGGATTTCCATGTTGAAGGAAAATCCTTGGATCAGTGCAACCGAAATGTTTATGAGAAGACTTAACATGATACATTTATGTTTATTATCCTACTTTTAAGGTTGTAGTTTTTAACAATAACACTAGCTTATAGATTAAGTTAGGTTTTTGGAGTCAGATACACCAACATTCAAATGCTGATGATTATTAGTGAGACATTAGGCAAATAGCTTAACTTTTCAGATTTTCAGATTGTTTAATAAAATGCAATGATGATATCTACCTCATAGGGTCATTGACAGTAGAAACTAATGTATAAAGTACTTACTATGTTACCTGCCTCATAGGGTGCCCTTGCACATAGTAGCTATCATTATTTATCAGCTAATTCAGCTTTTGATGTTGCATTATCTCATTTAATTACCACCGCCACCACTCCACTGTACACAAACCTGCAATGTTGGTATTGGTCTCTATGGAGAAACTGAGGCTCAGAGCAGTTGAGAACTAAGTTTATAAGGCTTAAGGGACTTTTAGAAAATGTTTCATTAACGTTTTCATTAACTCCTCACGCTATTGGGGTTTCATTAAACTGATCTCAGAGAAATCCTGGAGTGATAGTATAAAAGGTAAGATATGACTTCTAAGAGTAATATATCATTCTTACAAATATTATCAGAAATATTTATAAACCGATTTCAGATAAAACTATACACATTTAGGTCTAAGATATGATAAATAGGAGTGATTGCTGTAGGCTGTTTACCTGCCCTATTCCCCTTTCTGTGATGCTAAAAAATAAACTCTGGGGTTTCTCATTCAGTGACAAACTGTTAAATTGTGGACAAATCCTTTTGACATCACAACCATTGCTAAAGCAAAATAATTAGAACTGTTTATTTTACCATAATCTCTTTTGGCTTATATTGCCAGTTGATTGCTTCTTTTCCTATTCTGTACTATCCTTGATGCTGATTTTTTTGTTTTGTTTTGTTGAAACAAGGCTTTACTCTGTTGCCTAGGCTAGAATCTTAATGTTTAGTCATGAGCATTGTTTCTCCTTGTACTCTGAGGATTTCCATATTGAAGGAAAATCCTTGGACCAGTGCAACCGAAATGTTTATGAGAAGACGTAATACATCCCAAAAACCCAAAATATTTACTTTCTGGCCCTTTATGGAAGTTTGCTGATGCCTATTCTAAGTGATAAGGAACTTGAATTATATTCATACTGTGCTGCAGTCTTGAGTGACAGGCCTTTCTAAATAAGATGTTACGTTACGTAAGATGTTAATACAGTGTCACAGTAATAGCTCACTGCAGCCTTGAACTCCTGGGCTCAAGAGATCCTCCTGCCTCAGTCTCCCAAGTAGTTAGTACTACATGCATGCACCATCATGCTGGGCTAGTTTTTTTTTATTTTTCATGGAGACAGGGTTTTTCTATGTGCCCAGGCTGAGCTTGAACTCCTGGACTCAAGCAGTCCTTCTGCCTTGTCCTCCCAAAGTGTTGAGATTACAGGCATGAGCTGTGGCCAGCTTTGAGGCTGATTTTTAATCTGATTTTACTATTTTTCAGGTGAGTGGGGGAAAATATACTTTGATCTACAGTTCTCTTATATTTGCATGTAGTTATTTTTCAATCATTTTTATTTTAGGTAGTGAAACAGTTTCGTGATGGTGGTTACAACACGTTGGTTTCTACCTGTGTGGGTGAAGAAGGTTTGGATATAGGAGAAGTTGATCTTATAATATGTTTTGATTCCCAGAAGAGCCCAATTCGTCTTGTACAACGAATGGGCAGAACTGGCCGTAAACGTCAAGGCAGGATAGTTGTTATCCTTTCTGAAGGACGAGAGGAACGTGTAAGTAGAGCTGCAGGAACACAATTTGACAATTGAAATTGGAGAAATATAGCCCAAAGGTGAATATCAACATGTTAGCATTCCAAGTCCAAACACTCTGTAGATAGTTTTGGTTTATTTTCCCCTCTTTGTATTGGATTCTATCTTGTAACTAGGAGAGTTTTTGACTGGATTCAGTTTCCTAATTTTTATCCATCTAAAGAAACACATTTTTAATATGTAAGTAGTAATTCAGAGATACCTAGATCCAAAAACCAATATGTATTACTTTGTTTTACTATTTTCCTGTGCTTCTAAAGAAGACCTATGCTTTGTGTTTAGTTTACTTTTCTTTCTGAACTATAGTAAACCGAGAATCATTTTTTCCTTTTCAAGGGCTGTCAAAATAACTGACTAAGTAAGAAACAAAGAATATATATCAGAGACAGTATGAAGCCTGAAAAACCCAAAATGTTTACTTTCTGGCCCTTTATGGAAATTTGCTGATGCCTATTCTAAATGATAAGGAACTTGAATTAGATTCATACAATCTTGAGTGACAGGCCTTTCTAAATAAGATGTTACATAAAATATTATTTTGTGTTTGTTACGCTAAAGTATTAACTAACTTTTGTAACTCATTGAGACTAGTTACAAATATATAGATTTGTAACTATATAGCAGCCAAATATATAGATTCACATTAAAGGTCTCCTTAACAGTTATGATAATTTTAAAAAATTGATTTTAGGCTGGACATGGTGGCTCACACCTGTAATCTCAGTACTTTAGGAGGTCGAGGCGGGCAGATCACTTGAGGTCAGGAGTCTGAGACCAGCCTGGCCAACGTGGTGAAACCCCATCTCTACTAAAAGAATACAAAAACCAGACAGGTGTGGTGGCACGTGTCTGTAATCCCAGCTACTTGGGAGTCTGAAGCAGTAGAATCGCTTGAACCTCGGAGGTAGAGGTTACAGTGAACCAAGATCCTGCCACTGTACTCCAGCCTGGGTAACAGAGTGAGACTCCATCTCCAGAAAAAAACCCTGATTTAAAATATTTTATATACTCTTTAAAATCATCCTGAAAAGTGAATTATTTCTCTAATACTTTTCATGTGATTATAGCATATTCATATGTAACATCTAGTTTATCCATAAAATGATCCTAATGAAATGTTTGGTAAAAGGCCATGTAATATCAGTGAGTGGAATTGGGTTTTAATTGTACTACCTAGCCGAGTTGCTTAACCTCTCCATTCACTTGTTAGGTTTCTTATCTGTAAAATAGTAACAGTGGCCACATTTACTCAGTATTTACATTGTGCTGTGTAATGTTCCAAGTTTCAGATTCATTATTGTATTTAATGCTGTCAGCACCCTGTAAGGGGAGTAACGCTTTTGTTGTATACAGAGAAGGAAACTGAAGTGTAGAAAGATGAACAAACGGAAATAAGGGAATAGTTTTAAAAAAAGCACAAGACAACCTTACACTTCTATGTAAATATCAACCTCTTTTAAAAACGGCAGGGTAACAAAGATAGATTTACTTCTGCAGTGTAACTGCTAAGGTGGGCTTTTGTAATTATGGACTTTGACATGATTTTCTTTTTTAAAAATAACAAAAAAACGGAGTCTTGCTCTGTCATCCAGGCTGGAGTGCAGTGACGCGATCTCGGCTCATTGCAACCTCCATTTCCCAGGTTCAATTGATCCTCCTGTCTCAGCCTCCTGAGTAGCTGGGACTACAAGTGTGTGTCACCACGCCCGGCTAATTTTTTTTTTGTATTTTCAGTAGAGACGGGGTTTCACCATATTGACCAGGCTGGTCTTGAACTCCAGACCTCGTGATCTGCCTGCCTGGGCCTCCCAAAGTGTTGGGATTACAGGCGTGAGCCACCGCGCCCAGCCTGAAATGATTTTCATTAAAGGTTAATCTAACAGTTTACTGATAGGTTTTAAAATTCAAGACAACTGGGCTCAGTGACTCACGCCTGTAATTTCAGCACTTTGGGAGGCTAAAGCTGGAGGATCACTTGAGCTTTGGAGTTCAAGACTAGCCTGGGCAACACAGGGAGACCCCATCTCTACAAAATAAAGATTAGCTGGGTGTGGTAGTCCACACCTGTAGTCCCAGCTACTCAGGAGGCTAAAGTGGGAGGATCGCTTGAGCCCAGGAGGTTGAGGCTTAGTGAACCCTGACCACACCACTGTACTCCAGAGCCTGGGTGACAGAGTAAGACCCTGTCTCCAAAAAAAAAAAAAAAAAAAAAAATCAAGACAACAGAAGCTCTATTTTCTAAGTATTTAAGTGGATCGGGGTTTAACTTTATGTTTACAATAAATCCAAACTAATAATTGTTTGTTATGGATAAATCGTTATTTATAAAAGTAATATAATCTGACATTTTATATTTGTTTTTACAGATTTATAATCAGAGTCAGTCCAACAAAAGAAATATATGTAAAGCTATTTCAAGTAACAGGCAGGTCCTTCATTTTTACCAAAGAAGTCCACGAATGGTTCCTGATGGAATCAACCCAAAATTACACAAAATGTTCATCACACATGGTGTCTATGAACCAGAGAAGCCTTCTCGGAACTTGCAGCGAAAGTCATCTATCTTTTCCTATAGGGATGGTAAATAAATTTTGCATTTGACACATGCATTTTTCCCCTGTTTTTACTTAGCAGATCATATCTTGATATAATATTTCTTGTTTGAAAAACTGAATATATGTTCTAAGTAATATATTATGGACATTCTCTTTGGAAAGTCTATAAGAGATTGTTCATGTGGCAAATGGAGAGACACTGGTAGTATAGAGTGACAGAAACTCAGTGCTGGGGAAAATTAAAAATACCCTACCAACCTAGAGAATGTTCTCCATAAAGTTTAGAAAAGAAAGAAAAGAGTTTTATTTTTGAATAAGCATTAAACCAGATTACAATGTGCACTGAAGACAATGTACTAAGATAATACCAAGACAGAAAGAAATTCCCTATATATATCCCCATGCACTTAGAGTCCTTTACATACATGTTGTCTATATTAGTAGTAACTTGTCTTCATTTAAGACGGCACCATTTGCTGTACATTCCTTCATAGTTTATCCTATATTTACCTGGTAATTTAGGTAGCCATTTGCATTAGCTGGTTGCCTTTCTCAAATATCTTGAGATATTTGCACTATGAAAGTGAGAAAAAAAGTTTATTTTTTGGATTTTACTTAATCTTTAAGGCGGGTTTTAAACTATCATAAAAATCATATAACTGTATTCTAACATTTGGAAGGAACCTTGGGAGTCATGTGGTCCAATTACTTACCAAGGTAGGAATGCTTCTGCAGC